TCATTAGTTTCGAATGAAGAATGAAGATTGTCCGACAAGTCCATAGTCCTATAAAAAAAAAAAAGCACGACTTTTCTAAACCTATGTTTGACAATCATTATTTCAGAATTCTTTGATTCTCATACTCATTTTAAACCACACATTTACACAATAAAATATTTTATACATAAACTCGAAACTTTTTAATACTTTTTAATCACATATTCTCCAAAAAAACACTACTCAAAACTCTATTTTCTCAAAATAATGATCATCAAAATAGGGGCTAAACAAGCAAAGTTCCATGCTTCAAACTTTCCAATTATTCAAAGAATTGAAATAGGTTAATAGGTGTAACTTAACCATGATGGGTTTTATGAAAAAGGGTAAAATAGAGTTCGTGGAGTAGACAAATCATCTATGAATCGCTCCAATCCTAATTATTAGTCAATAAGGTTTCTTAAATAAATTTGTAATTTGAATGACGACAGTTGAACAAGAGTTAGTCGGAGTAGATTTGAGCTATTGGAGTTAGGATTATAAGTTACAACGATTCTTTAAATCCCCTAAACAGCTATCGACCGTTCAAAAGTACAGAGATTTTCAATGAACAAACTCTCAATCAATTCTCCACCTCAACAACAGCATTTCTCTTGTTCTCTACTCACATGATGCCAATTAATTGATGAGTCAAGCAAAGTTACTTTTCATTATAGTTCTATATGAAAGGCAAAAAGGCCATTAGATTGATGTTCATTGGTTAGCACCTAGCCGACAAACATAAAAGGTCTCTTAGTGGATGTTGATTTCATTAATTAGCTTCCTAATTCAAATGAGGGCTTTATTTTATTTGTTTGGGTATGCAATTTCTTTCTAGCGTCGGTCCAAGAACCAAACGAGGTTGATAATAATCGATATTTAGTACAAAGAATTAAATAGATAGTGCTCACTAATAATTTACTATAAGAATAGTAAGTGGGCTATGTGTTCACGATATGTTATTTTTATCTGTCGAAAATTAT